ATTGCAATTAGATATCATCTCACTGGAGCAAAACCTAGTGGCAATTTATGTCCTGTTGCCTGATGAGGATATATATCTTTTTTTTTCTATCCGTGCTGTTGTGAAAGTGCACGATGTACTTCATCTATGGGAAAGGTCGGGAGGAACCAAGCCAAGTGTGCTGTTGTTGCTGGGAGGTTGACATCATCTTTCATGGATTTTAAGGGCCTCTTTCTATGTTTTGTGGAGGATGGGGAGTTTTTTGGTGTGGTAATGATGTTCTCTCTTCTCCATTCCAGCAGACCCTCCCCTCCTAAGGGAACCTTTGGGAATCATATAAGGCTTTGGGGAAAGGGCAGGCAATCGCCCCCTTCTTTTACCCACTCGAGCAGTCACACATGACAGATTCATGCCTGCAGCACTTCTAGGTTTTATCTGCTCACTAAATTTTATTTCCCCTCTGTGAGTGTTTATATTGCTTAGAGACTGCCAAGGTTCATGTTAATCATAAAAAAAAGTGGAGGTTTATTAGGTATTGCAGCTCTGTGATTCTTTGGTGTTTGAATGTTAACGAAGCTTTGTATGCTCTGGAATAGCTAGAGAGGTAGATCTTAGCTCTGGCATGGCAAAATATCCAGGGGTGGATTTTTGTTACCGTTCTTCTGGGTTTTAACATCTTACATGACATTTAATCCCAGAACAATTTTACACTATGTATCATCATGTGTAATATTGTGTCATGCTGTAATTTTGCCAGTACATGAAACGGCAGGAGGGAGGTGAAAATGGGCTCAATTACACCCTGGAGGGAAGGGAGAGCTCAGCAGAGGGACCTGTTCCTGGGAGGTAATGAATTGGGTGTCAGCACTCTGCCAGAGCAGAGTGACAGAGCAGAGGGGAATTTATTATTTTTAGGGGCTCAATGGGCAGACAAGAGGAAAGGAACCAGTCAAATCGCATTACTAATGGTCATTTCCATAGGCTGTGCATGTATGTGGGATTTAAGAAAAGAAGGGACATTCATTCTCGCTCCAGACAGCTCAGTTCTTTCTTTTTCTGAAGGCTGAAGGAAGAACATGGCCATTTTAACTGGCTCAGAGTGAGAAGCCTTCAGAGCAACTTTGGTGGCAACTCTTGGGGAAGGCAGACACAGAGTCATTCCGGGTGAGGGAGACCTATGACAGTTCAGGGATATTCCCTTTCCACAGCCTCTTCTCTGGGTGCAGTCAGCCTTGGTGGATCCCTCTGGGATGTAGGAAGCAGTGATGCAGAGGGAGAGAAAGGAACCAAGTAAACATTAGGGCAGGAGGAATCATAGCATGAGGTGTATGCATCCTGCTGGTATGCAGCTCTTGCTAGCCCTGATGATGAAGGTTGTATTTACTAAACAAAGCTGGAGGATGAGCAGCTGCTTATTTCTTAGGAACAAGAGGTACTTTCTCACTGAGTTACGCTCTATGCATTCCCAGGTGGCATTTGGTGTAATTTCATTGCCCTTTGTCTCTTCCTTTGCCCTGAGCACAGGTTTGTTCCTTCAGCTTAACCCAAGCAAGATTTCTTTTTTCATTGTACATTGTATTTAGGGCAGAGCAACCAAACTGGAGAGCTGAGAATTCCTTATTTTCTGAATTTCTGGCCAGGGCTGCTGTCTAAGCATTGGCTTTCATAGAGCAAGATGTACGTATTGCTTTAGTGCCTTCAAACTAACCTCAAAGGAGACTTGTGTCATTCATTGTCATCTTTGTATTACTACATAAATTGTTATTGGAGGAAGTACCAGGCCTAAAATGCTTCCCTTTTAAATGGGGAAGAGTTGATGAACATGTATTCTACAGGGGGAAATGCTCTTCCAGGCAGACCTGGCCTGCCAGACCTGAATTGTGATGGGTCTTTATAAAGAAGGGACTTTTTTCCCCAGTCTCTTGTTGGAAAAAGTAGAGTGTTGGCATACTTAATCCAGGAAGTCTCTCCTTTTGACTATACTTTTTCAAAGTGACTTTTTTTCATTTTTTCAGGTGTAATATAACTTCTTTTGGGGGCAGAAATGATGGTAAATTCCATTTTCATCTCCCTTGAATCCAACTGAGGCTTCTTCCTTTTCAGCACTATGAAAAGGCATATGGCTTCCCCAGGTTGGGTACCCATGGGCTACCATAAAGCTGGTCTGAAATATTTCTGTTCAAACTTGCAGGCAAGCGTGCTTTGATGGGGAGGAGGGGCAGCCCATATTTTCATGGTCAGACTAGTGCAATTCATACAACTGTATGTCTTTTCTACCGGCTACCTTTTCAGCACACCAGGACTCTCTTACACTTGTTCTCTTATGAGATCCAGCAGTAAGTGCCTCTACCTCTGCAGCTGCCTTTTCCTTAATTGACCCATTTTGCAGCAGATTAGGCCCCAAAGAGGAGGTTAATATGAGCAGTTATTCTAAAAGGCAGGTTGGGGCTTCAGTGACCTGTTCATCATTGGAAAAGCCTGTTAGCCCCAATCTTCTTACCTTTTTACACTTTATTCTAAAATATTTGGACTTAAAAATGACCTTATGAATCTCTCCTCCTAGATATAGTGTCCATACCTCTCTCTTTCCTGAGTTTTGAACTGGATGTGTTGGGTCAGATTTAAGGCCAGGCATGCAGATTTACCTTCACTCTTTCTTTTTCTCTTAAAACAGCCACCAGAATTGTAGCTCTGGATCTTCCAGCATTGCAGGTGGCATTGCCAGGGCTGCTTCAGCCTCTCTGAGTAATAGTCCCAATGTGCTGTGTGCAATGTAGGAATACAACTCACCAGGCAGTGCATCTTTCTGCAGGATTGGTGAAGGTGGGAGGTCTTTTCCTGCACTGCAAGCAATTACAGTGGCCCCTTTAAGTCCGTGCAGGGATTGCATATCATACAGGTTCTCAGAACTACAGCTGCTGTGATGACCGAAGGAGAGAATTAGAGCAAAATTCAGTGTGAACCAGTATTAAGCAATTAGTATATCTTTACTGATAAAGTATTACTAATATTACATAATGTTATTGTTATATTAATAGTATTATAGTGATGAATTCTGAGATGTGGCCACCTTGCTCTTTATTAGTTGCTGTTCCTAACAAACCTGTCCACTATACTGTAGGAATTATCCCTCTGTTTCCCCACTTTCTGCTATCAGCAGTCTCCTATACATTAGTTAAGGAACAACCTCTGCCTGTACCTACTGTTCAATTTCCTTGAACACCCATACAAGAAAATAAAGAGGATTGTGACATAACTGTAACAACAGAAGAGTGGATGAACCCTGAATGACTAGATGGACCTGAAAAATTTGTGGCTTTTCCTTGCTAGGGCAGTCAATTATAATGATTGCCTTTAGTACAGGTAGGTGCAGCCCTGATATTGGGATGGGGGCATGTTTTTGAGGATAAGCACATGCATGGTATGGTGGTAGCATGCCTGCAGACAGGGCCATTAGCCGGGATCAGGCACACAGTCCCTGCCACATCCTACCATTGCAGTTGTCTCAGTGGATGGCTTTTGATGTGACCAGGGAAAATTTGCAGCCCTGGGCTCAGCTTCTGGTGCCATGACGAGAAGGTGGGATTCTGAAGCTAAGGGATTGAGGTTGTGAGTAGGAAAAAGCCCATTCATCGCTATGCCTCCTGTAAGCCCATGCCTGACCTCAAACTTTTGCTGTAAGAACTTCCTCAGCGTGAGCTCTCACAGGCTCACCGAGCACAGGAACATTGCAGCCGCTTCCTTATGCAGGCAAATATCCTGCAAAATGCGTGCTGCTGGTCTTAGTCCCAGTGAGCCAGACCAAGCTGGGGAGCTGCCGCAGCTCCCTCCCCATGCTGCTGGCCATGCAACAGCTTTAAATGATTCCCCTATTGCTGTTCCCACCCCCATCATCTCTGTAAGTGAGTTCATTTGATTAGCAACTCTAGTTTGCATGGTAACACTGGAGCCCCAGGGATTATGATATTTTTTTCATGCCAATCCAGATCAGTGTGAGACAGCAGTCTCGACAGGATGTGTTGCTGTAACTTAGGCAGTAGAAGGCCAGAGCCAGCTATGCTGCATTTGCAGAATTACCAGCTGGGACCAAGAAAGCTTTGGGGAAGGGGAGAACAAGAGTGCATTTGGGACCCTTGCTCAGTCCTTGGGGAGGACACAGCTCAGCTAAAATCAAGGATTGGGGCCTCGGTCCAGATATCTGAATGGGGCCAGGAAACTTGCTGTTGAGTGAACTATTTAGGACCTGGAATTGCTGGAGAGAAGGGAGCTACAGCAAAGAAACAGAATTGGTGCAGCAAAGTAAATTGCTGGGAACGAGGAGAGGGGGAATGTTTGAGCCCCAAAGAGGGTATTGTGTCTGGTACCTCCAACACCAGCATCTGCTCTTGGAAATGCTGCGGGATTTACATGCTGGGCTTTGTCCGTGGTCGGGGTATTGTCCTTTTACAGCTTTGAAAAATAGAGACGGATTCCCTTTCTCCTGCCCTCCCTTCTGCAAGGTACTTGAGGCAAAACTTATCCTTGTTGCATCGCCCAGAAGGCACAAAGGGATGTGCGCTACAAAGGCTTCATTCTTCCTACCTGCTCATCTACTTCTGCTATCAGAAAAGCAGGATCTCGCCATGGTATAAGGCAGCTTATCTGCACAGTTTAGACCCTGAATGTGGACTCTGGCTGCCGGCAGATCCTGCTGGGCCAGCAGATGATGCTGCCGGTTGAACAGCTGAGAGCATGGGAACACAAAGCTGAGAACACCAAATGCCTCAGCAAAATCAATGCATTTGCAAGGGGTTAAACACAGGAATGTGCACTCCTGAAGGTCTGCAGGGGGGATGGAAATTATGTGAGAATTCAGGGCTATTGGATCTAGCATTCATTCAATTACCATGCTTAGTTAAGTACTGCACAGTGGAGTGAAGACTGCAGTCTGTTAGGATGGCTGTTACTATAAGTCATTTAATTATGAGGTTGCTCATATGCCATTTTAACATATGTAGAGTAACATTATCCCTCTTTTGTAGGTCACTATTCTCATAAGTCTGGCTCTTGCATTCCTTGCCTGCATAGTGTTTCTTGTGGTATACAAAGCCTTTACTTACGACCACAGTTGCCCAGATGGATTTGTTTATAAGGTAAGAAACTTCAGATGGATGGATTGCCTGAGATAATGATAGACTCTAATTGACTACGTGGTTACAGTCTAGTCTGTTTTTCTGACCAGGCCAAACAGAACATTTGGCAAGAATGTGTTGAAATGGGAAAAGTGTTATGGGAAATGTGGACTTGCATCTGCCTCCATCAGCTACTGTTACACTGTAATTGTTGGGATTAGCATTTAGTGAACACTACAGACAGATGTTCAGGAACAATTCCTCATATTCGTGAATGGATTTATTGCAGCTGGAATCCCGCGTTTGCTTCCCACACGTTCAAGAGACTGAATTTTATTGGCATACATTTTAATGCAAAGAAAACTCCCAGAGTGCTGGCACATGTGTCCTTTGTAAAAGAAATCTGAATTTGCCTGTGTAGTTCATTTTTAGGTGCTTTTGAGCCTCTATCAAGAAAAAAATCGTGTAACTTAATTGCTAAAACCCCACTGCCCAGGGATTTTATGTTGAATATTCACAGAGAACTATTTGCCTGTTCTGTTGAAATTAAAAAAATCAACCACACACGTTTGCAAAATAGTTCACTGACTCCTTACTGTGAATAAAGTCGTACACTCACAGGAGTCTTGACCACACTGGGGATAGTCTGTGGGCTGGAAAATAGAGTAAGGATGTTGGTGTATTAGTCATTGTGATTTATTCTTTTAGGTTATATAAAAATGAAGTTCGGACAGAGTCATGAATTTCAGAATCAGATCCAAACCGGAACTTCTGAAAAGATTGAAGGTTTTGGACTCAGATTTCAGTTAATCACACTGAACTGGGAGTTGGGGTATCTCATAATTTAATAACAATTGTACCTGGGGCTCTTTGTGTCCTTGGTGCTACTTCGACTCCAGTGAATACCAACAAGTCCGACATTTGTTACCATTTGATTGCTCTTTTACAGCTGTTGCAAAGCGAATTGTTTTATCTGTGCAGTTCTTAGCACACAAGTGTCGGCACTAGCGCAGTGGAGATGCATGGGCAGTGTCTGCACAGACAAGAAGCTCTGACAAGGGCTGGCCGGTTGGGCTGTGCTTCCTACCATCCCAGACCAAGGTGGTCGTCCTACAGGTCAGAGATAACACACTGTAACAGAGCAGCACCTAAGCAGCTTACTCTGCCTCTGCCTGTCCTCTACTTGTCTGAGAATTGATTCTGGACTTTGCTTTACAGGGCTTTCAGTCCAGCTCGTGGTAAGAGCTGCTCAGCCAGCCCTGCTAGGACTCCAGCAAGGGGCCTTCGTCTCTGTGCATGCCAGCAACGTACCAAGCCAGTCAGACCTTCATTTTACAGTCCCCATTTCCCATCCACGGATGAAATCAGCCTGCAGTCAGGGTTGCCAATAGCAACAGGTTTTGAAGGCTGATGCCCGACTCTAAACTTTGTGCATTCCCACAGCGCTGAAAGGCAGTCAGGGCTGCGCAGCAGACGCTCTCGCTGCAGCAAGTCTGAGTCAAATGTCATCCCTGCAAACAGCTAACCATGAGATTTTTTTAAAGTGAGAGCCTGAGGCTGATAGGACCACTGTTTACCTCTCTTGCTTTCTCCCCGCTTCCAGCACAAGCGGTGCATCCCGGCCTCGCTGGACGCATACTACTCTGCACAGGATTCCAACTCCCGGGGCAGGTTCTACACCGTCATCAGCCACTACAGCATGGCCAAGCAGACCAGCTCCCGGGCCGTATCGCCCTGGCTGTCTTCAGGATCGGTAAACCACGAAGCCAAGGCTGCCAAGACAGAAGGTCATTAAAGTTAACAAGTGGTGACAGGCAAAGTCGGAGGGTGGGGGGACAACACCATGTCTATACTGCATTGCTCTAGCTGAGGGTGTTGTGCTAACAGCACAACAGGAATAAATAAAACCCAAGTGCAGGAGTCATCTTAATGGATATTTCTTTTCGTGCATTGTTCTTGTTGATTTGTAACCGAGTCGAGCTCTTGTACAAAGGCATGTTTGATGTTGACTGTACCTTACAATGTAAAAATATTTTTAAATCATTGCTTAACTATTTGTTAGAAAAAAGAAATTAAAAAACAAAAAAAGCAATTAGATAAACAGCCAGAGAGAATAAAAGCAGCAAAGAGAATCCCGCAAAGTTTTACCATTGCTGGAAAGCTGTGACAGAAGCTTAACATGCAGTGAAGGAACAGCTGAAATCCTTCCGAGAGAGAGGGTAGAAAGAACTTGGTACAAAGACATTGTGATGCTGTTTAGCTTGCCAAAGGGGGGATATTTTGCTGTCAAATTGAATCTAGCATCAGTGTTCATTTGCTGACAGAGAAATACAAGCATTTCCTCCTCCCTCAAACATACACACGTACAAACACACATGCACACACACCCCTGCGCAGTGGCCTACGTAATTCCAGAAAGATCTAGGCATTCGTAATGAGCCACCACTGTGCTGGTGACCTTGGCTGGGCTCTGAGGCTGAAATCCTGGTTGCTGTTTGGATATGGAGCAGGATGGAAGCAGACAGAGGCTGCTATAGTGAAATAATGAATATACTTCTGAGCACAGGACTAGGAGTCAGGAGATCAGGGCTTTATTTCTGCTTCTGGCACAGATTTCCTGCATGACCTTTGGCAATTTACATAAGGCTTCATCCTTTGGGACCTCTCCTGAGGGTCACCAAGAGACAAAGAAATGCAATTATGAATTGAGGTGCCTCTCGAGAGTGGTGATAGTATAGAACAGTATTGAGCCTCTAACTTTTCAGCCCCTAATTTTCCCTTGCCCATGAAATGGGATGATCCTGCTTCCCTTCTTCAGCTTCAGATACTTCAGTATTTAATGTCATTCTAGGTAATTAGAGAGGGATGGCCGTAGCATGTTCTCAGAGTGCAAGGGTCCCATCAAGTCTCTACTTGCAGACACAGACCAGGCCCCAAGCGTAATCCAGTCATGGCCAATGGAAAACATCCTCTCCCCACAAATGGCATGTGCAATTAGTGCAGACTGGTGGGATTTTAAAAAAGAAAAAGGATTCTCTTTTTTCAGGGCTGCAAGCTGTTGCTGCAAAGCAGCTCTGCTCCTTGGTAGAGGAGGCAGGGTGAGACTGAGCAGGAGGAGCAGAGTGCACAGGGAGGGCAAGGTTCGCATTTGACTAAGGCTGCTTTTTCAGATTTGTGGCTAGACTGGGATGGAAATTAGGAACTGGCCCCTTCGTCCCCTGCATTGGGCAGTTTTGTCCTCCATTTTGCATACATAGACACTAGAGGGTGTAAATGAGGGCAGAACTCCTCAGTCCTAACAGGCATCATGATAAATAACTGTATAGTGTAGCTAAAAATGTAGTGCCAAATGCCATTGTCTGATTTCCTATCCTTCGTTCCCCTTCCACCTGTAAATTCATTTCTCACTGAAAATGTACAAACCACCTCCTCCACCAACAATCAAAACTCCAGCAAACCACTGAACAGTTTATAATTTTGTGGTGTATTTTTTGTCAGTAGGTAGCAGAGACTGAAGTATTTTTTGGTGTAATTCTTGAACTTTTCTGACGGGATTAAAATAAAGCTAGATGTGACTGAGCATCTGTGTGGCTCCGGCAGGTTTTTTTTTTGGTGACTTGTGCCATGGGCTGGGAGGCGGTGGGTGGCAATATGTGCATGCCAGGTGCTGCTGAGTGTGGCTGCAGCAGAGACTGCACCTTTGCACGGGACTCAAAGTGACTCTGGCTTTCAGAGGCATTTTCAGAGCTTGCAATTTTCCCCTTTAATGGCAGGGGGTTTATTCCCTATGTTCCTGCCCATTTTTCAAGTGCAAATAGAAAAACAGTAATTAAAACCAAGCTGATCTTCTGTTGGTGATGCTTGACTTTACAGAGGGACCTCCCCTCCCTTCCCATTTTAAGGCCAACAAATAATAGAAAATTCAGCTGGCAGCAGTGTCTCTTTTGCCATCTACTCCCAATGCAAGCATTCATGTGTGCTAGAGCAGGCTCCGTAAGAAGGGCTGTTACAAAAAGTAGCGCTGCAGAGAAATACAGCTGACAAACAAAGAGCCATGGCTGAACTTTGAAAAAGTTGAGCTGTGTATCCAAACCCTGCAGCTTGGTTTCTAACAAAACTACAACTATATTCATCTCACATTGTTCAGAAAGCGGATTGTATTTCCTCAAATCCTTCAACTCTTAGAAATTGAATGACACCCTGGCATTAAATTGGCTCATTCCCAAAGGCTAAAGAATGTTTTATAAAAACCTTTGGATGGCTTTCCTTCCAAAAAAAGCATATTCAGAGTTGTGAAATTGAGCTACCGTAGGAGAGAAACCACTCTGGTGCTAGAGGTCACCACCAAGTACTTGTGAAATGTATTAAAAAGGATTCAGCATGCTTTGCAGAATTGAGTCACAAGATAATTTGATCATGGTATTTCTATTGCCACTTTCCCAGTAATACTCTAACCGTATGTTTACTGTAATCTAAAAAACCCAGGAATCAAATCATTTGAATTAAAAGGTTCTAGCTATTATTAGATAAGTGAGTCAGTGGGGATAACCATTCCTATTTAATAAAAGATCAAAATCTATATGGAACAGAATGGAAAAAAAGACCCAAGAAAGACTCATGGGAGAGCAAAAGAAACCAAACAACCCAACTCCAGCTGCAAGTTCCATTACTGTGAATGTTATTACCGTTTTTGTACGAGCTGCAGTAGAGCTTCCAAGATCAAGCACGTATTTTAATCACAGTAACAGAGAGAGGGTAAATTGAAATGGTAGTACATCTTCTTCTTTCAGTCTTTAAAAACCTTCTTCCAAGTTGATCATACGTTTTCAATGCTGATTAAAGTAGCATATTGGTGATAGTACAGTCTCATCCTGGCTGTCATCTCTCTGTGAAGTCTAAAGCTTCTGACTGGCTCTACAGAGTAGTGTTTTTGTGAGCTAGTGTCTGGGCAAGGGCTCAGTCTCAGCTCTGAATGGTACTGATGCACAAGAGCCTTCCCTCTGCTTCTCCCAAAATTTACGTGATGGCCAAGCCCAGTCAGATCCAACCTCTTCATCTGTGACTGATCCTGCTAAAGCATGAGTGCCTTTGGGTGATCTCCATTATACTAGATTGCTGCAGTGGGCTCAGGTTTTGAATTCTCCACCAAAATATGCTTGTGGACCACTGAGACTGGAAGAGCTGATTTCTCTTCTGAGACAGTCATGCAGGAGATAGGTGCCTGGACTGTTTGTTTGTCCTAGCTGGAGTGGTAGGAAGGGACTGAACAAGAAGTGTCAGCACATGAATGAGCTCACCTTGTGGGGACAAGGGCATTCTGAACAGGCAGCAATCCTGTGGAATGACTGGCAGAACATGTGGGAAATAAAATAGCTTTACTAAAGGTATGGTGATGCCATGATGGGAAGTCAGCTGCCCCCGGCCTAGGCTTGGGAAGAGAAGGAAGAAATTGTGGCTGTTGGAGCCCGAGAAAGATCTAGAGCAAGAGAAAAAGAGATTGCTACCAGCCAAGACATGGAAGCAAGCATTGCTTTTCTGTCGTAACCCAATGACCCTAAAGCACTATATCCTGCTTGACTAATACAGACTGTCTTGTTTTGGAAGAGCTGCCCATTGTTGCTACAAACATCTGCTGACTGCAGCGTGCCCTGAGGGGAATCGCTCCACCGCTGATTGAAATCCTCTTGGACTGCCTGCAAAAACAGTGTCAGAAAAGAAGGTGCCGACGGCAGGACCCCGCTGGCACACTGTTGGCGAAAACAGAGGTGTCTGTCCAGGGCCTTAGAGGTGACTTCATGCTTTGGATCTGCATTAGAAAGACAGCTCAAGGTGCTGCCAGTGCCTCTGTTATGAGATCAGAAAAGGAACAGTCCCTTTGCATGTGATTATTCCAGCCCCCCCTTTATCCTCCTCCGTGCTTGCCAGCTGTTTCTGGTTTGTAATAATACCTCAAATGATAAGTGTAAGGGTCGTGCACTGAACTGTCTACAATCACATTTTATACGATTAGTCAGGGTTTTTTTTAAGCACCCTAATTATTACAGTCAAACCGGATTAAGCTATTCCTCTAATAGATTTTCAGTTCCTGTAAAATAGGCCAGAGAAAATTACTTGCGGGAGGGGACAGGGGAAGGGAAGGCTCTTTCCTTCTGTCTCTTTGGCCTTTGCTTTTTTAAAATGCCAACAGTAGCAGGGGTGTTACAGGGATCCCACTGAGAGCACTGGATGAGTGCCCAGCAAAGTCAGGGGTCTCTGGTACTCAGCTCCCCTTCTCAGCTGGACGGGTGCCCTTTGAGGGGCAAAAAAGGTAAAATCCGTTTGATTGGGAATGTTACTTTACTTGGGAGGGTGGATGACCAGTCATTTGATGGGTTGTGGGTTGCTCCGTCATGGAAAATAATCCATGGCAAGTTGAAGTACAGGAAGGGGATAAACACAGTGGCATTATGCCTGAACCGCTCGTCACTGGGAAAAACTGGACAGGATTAGGGCTGAAGAGGCTTTTGTCCTGCAGTAGGCAGACTGTGAATGGTAAAAGCAGAGCAAGAGGAAATGGAAAAGCCTCTTAACGGCAGGTTACGGAGTTCATCCTGGCATGGCCAGTGCCCTGCCCTGCTGTGACCCGATGGGATTGCCTGAGCCTTTGCCCACTGCCATGGCAGGACCCGTCTGCTGGGGATGTGCATCGCGTCCCTCCGCCAAGGGCTCCTGCCTGCGCGGAGGGGCTGCTGCAGCTGCCGGCAGTCCCCATTAGCGCAGGGGCGGGAGGTCGGAAACAAGACGCCCCGTGGCTTCCCTTGTTGGTAATACAAAGCGTGAGCGCTACTGGTGTGAGCAATAATGAAAATGCTGCAAACTGAGGCAGCCATTAATAAAATATTTACACCACTCGGGCAGCGGTGTTTTAGACAAATCGCGTGCGGAGGCTTCCCCATGGCAATCGGTGATTGATGGTGACATTATTACTTACTGCTCCCCTGCCCTCCTCCATCGGCACAGCTGATTGCAGGCCAGTGTTTGCCAGGTGCAAATGGCCAAGGAGAGGCTAGCCCTTCACAGTCCCAGGGGTTAAAAGGAGCCAAGCTCATGCTACATGGGGCTGCAAAGTCACAGCAAGCCCAGCTCTCCTTTAGAGTCCGTAGGTCCATGCCAGCAGGTTGCTTTAAGCAGCAAGACAGTGCAAATCCGAGGGAGATACTGCCTGCTGCAGCGAGAGGAGCGATGCCCAGCAACGATGCCAGCTTGTGCCAGCAACTTTCCAGCCACTGCTGGAACGCTATGGTGGCACCAGGTGTCTGCAGGGGCTGGCGCTGGGGGCTCCACCGGTACCATCTCCCTGCTGGG